GAGCCCCGGCAGAGCCGCCGAGCTCCGCGGTGAAACCCAAGTACTCACCCTCGGATAACTCCAGCTCCAGCTCGGCCAGTTTGGCCCGCACCTCCGCAGGAAGCGGCACCGGGTCCCGGTCCGCCATTCTGCCGTTCCAAACCGACTTAAATATCTGTTTTCCGGCTGTTTCTCCCTGTTTCCAGTGCCCACGCTGCTCCACAAACCACAAAAATCCAAAGTCAGTCACACCGAGTCCGTCAGCGTCGCTCCGTGTGCGGCAGCGGCTCTGCGCGTTCTCCGCAAACTAGCATCAAGCTACAGCTAACACTGCAGAGCTGCTACCGGAACCTGTATTTTCAAAATAAAACCACAGCGTTAAGACATTAACAGTCATTGGTTGAGACCGCTGCCTGTGGCTCTCACACCCTCCAAATTTAAACCTGAGTAAATCAGACTCACAGGCTGGCTTTAACTAAAAGTTACGAGCTAATAAATTATAGATTAAAAAATAAATCAATGTTACTTTTGTGATACTTGGATTTTTATTTTTGTTTTAATTTAATTTTCAGAATAAAGTATGTTATAAAATGTTATATGACTATAAAAGCAGGTTTATATTTTTAGTTACTTGTTTCCTTATTTTAAATAAAAATAGGTAAAGCAAGAGCAATCCAGGCTAAAAAAAAAATCTGAATTTAGTTAAAACACTCAAAGAAAGGCGTCAGGAAGATTATGTAATTATTTTTAAACTGAGACATTGAAATGCATTTTATTTACTGACTGGTTTTATAGATATATATTTTGGAGATTTTGACTGTTTATTTTGAACATTCTCCTTTTTCTACGGTTTGTTCTCAATGCTTACCTCGTTTATACTGACAAGTTACGGTTCACCAGTGTGTGTCTGTTAAAAGTAAACAATATGATGCATTGCTAAAAATACTGGATATATGTTGATAGCTAGTAAGAGTAAATTATTTTTGAAACAACTTTGGGAGATGAATAAATTCAAAAGATCCAAACCCCAGTGCTGTGCTTTTATTTTGAATGCAGATTATGTTCTCTTCCTGTCTCACACCTGTTAATTATTGCCGCCTTCACGCGCCTCATATACACAATTTCCCTTTAGGTGATCCTAAAGATCCACGACTGAACTCACAGGAGGCAGTATTTTTATTCCGATCGATTTTCAGTCAAAGTTTCAGGAGTTAAAATGAAAACAAAGTGCTGCTTAATATTTTCACACCATCAACAACACACCGGTAGAGGGCGCCACATTCACTTTCTCTCTCTCTCACACACACACAGGCACAAACAATCTGTTAGCCTGACTGTGTCATTTATGTTAATTGATAAGATGGATAAATGTCAGCTGTAGTTCATGTGCTTTTGAACAAGTAGTCTGCGAGGCTGATGCAGAAAAGAGATCAAAGAAGAGTTAATTAGAAAGATTATCACAGCTGACACACGTTTGTTTTCTGTTTTATGTCAGTGAAATTTAATCACTCATTCACTCATTTAAAGTTTGCTAGGTGAATGTTTATTTAGGTGCAGCAGAGATATCTCAGTGATATCCCAACAATCAGAAAATTACATATAGGTAAAAGACGGCAGATGGAGCTTAATGGTACATTATATTCAAAAGTACTCAGTCACCCAACCGAACCGCTAAAATCAGGTGGAAAAGTGAAAAGTTGAATACAGTGGAAGCAACTCAAGTCACAGAGCGGGATCAGCGGATGCTGAGGCATATAATGTGCACAGGTCACCAACTTACTGTAATGTTAGGTGTTCTCCAGAGGGACCAATTACACTTCTACATCCAGCAATCCAATGGAAGAGTCTGGGTTTGGTCGATGCCAGGGGAACGGGACTTGTCTGACTGAATAATCGGAGGATTGTGATGTGGAGCTGTTTTTAGGAGTTGGGCTCAGCCTTAGTTCCAGCATATCGAGACATGTTGGATAATTTCATGCTCCCAACTTTGAGGGAACAGTTTGGGGATGGCCACTTCCTGTTCCAATATGGCTGCACACCAGCGCACAACTTGATTGGCCTGCACACAGTCCTGACCTTGTTTTGTGATATAGATCACCTAATAAGTTTGTGTTTCAGCTTCGATGACAGAAATTCAGATTATTATTCGGTTACTTTGCAGAAATTAGCAGGTATCAGTGTCTGTGCTTTGAACCCAAACCCATTATGGATGCAGCACGCAAAACCAGCAAGATAGAGTAATCCCATCCACATGAGGTCACTTCCAGCTTAACTAAAAAAACAGCAATGCAGTGGCCAAAATGCTGAAACCGAGGCTTCAAAAGTAATGTGTGTTACAGCCACAGTCTATGGTTTTCCCTCCTTTGTAATTTTCATTAGTTCCACCTGTATTCAATGTATAGTATATAAATACCCTGTTTTCTTCAGTCACCTGACAAATCATCGTTTCTACTTGCAGTGAAAGTTTTCAGAAATTTCTCATGTTCCTCATGACCTCAGACTCTGCTTACAGGTTTAGATTTTGGACTTTACCCTGGTCTCCTGTGGCCTGTGTTTGGATCCTTTACTCTGTGAATCATTAAACCATCTGAGGGGACTTCTCTGTGACCTCAGGACATTTTCCTCATGAGTTTATGGTCTCAGTCGCTAGTTCCAAACTTTACTGGATACAACATGATGTTCATTTTTCAAATGATGGGAACCTCGACATGCTGGAGCGCCTCTCGTGGATAGAATAAACTCTGGTGGTCACAGCCACGCCCACATCCGTTGTGTTCTCAGTATATCCAGTCTTTATTTTTCATGTCTGTTTAAATAAAAGGATTTATATACAGCTTGTAAGCTACATCTTTTATATACAGTCTATGTTATCCAGTAATTAGTGCATCATCACTGCATGATATCCATACAACAAATGTATAAGACATGGATGTAAGCAAATATTTTATTTTGTAGTGAGTTCAGTCCTTTCTAATCACATTTATCTACCTGCAGGCTAATGTTGGCATCCAGTCGTGAACATCAGACTAAACAAATTTAGTATGAGCAATAGAAATATCTGGAAATATTTTTAGTCGTTTCTGTGTAATAACCATGAATCACAGCTGGATAATAAATAAAGTGCTTGTTTCTTTGTGATCATCCTCATCCGACAGGACAGAGCTGAGAAAAGAAGGAGGTCCTCTGTGAGCATGCTGCCATCTTGTGGCTTTCCGCTCTCATCTGTACAAAGACGCAGAGGATCTTCCTAAAGCCCAGACGCTTTTAACTCACAGTATGTGGACATTTATTTGACCAATCAAAGGCAGCTTGTTTTATACTCGTTATGAATGCTCCTCGCAGCCGTGTCCAGGAGTAGAGCTCAAAATAAAAAAAAGAAGACCAACAACAGTGGACAGAGCAGTACAGAAACATGGTTTGTTTTCATCATTTTTAATGGAACAAAGCATCCAGGTGATACTTTATTCACAGTGTCACATCTTTTTGTAAATAACTTCAAAATGTTTCAGTTACTTTGTGAAAATCTAAACTTTGCTGGGACATCTTCTGTTTTAAAGCTCCTTTTAAAGCAACTTCTCTGCTGCTGTCAGTGTTATAATAATATAATATAGACGGTAGAATTAACTGAGCAGTTTAAAAGTTACATGACATCCAGTTATTTAAAAATATTATTTATGTGGAGATTATAACCCGCTATGTAGCGTTTCTTCCTGCCGGACTTTGGTCATGGACCCAAATACAGACTCACGGGCAGCAAGATGAAGAAAAAAAAAAGTTGATTCAGAATTAACTCCATGAAATTAAGACGCAAACCTAAACCATAAAACTTCACAACACATGGGGATGATGACAAATGCTGAGACAAAAATGGGAAGACCGCACTGGATCTAGAGAAAAGGGTAAGCAGGGACACAGGAGGGTAACGAGACCCAGGTGAAGATGATCAAAGACACTGAGACGGGGGAGGGAAGCAAAACTAAACGCCAGACACTGGCTGCAGCCTTAAAGTACGCAACCTCCACGATCCTCAAGGGCCGCGTACTCAAAGACCGCTAAGGCCGGAAGTGCGAGGCTTGTAGGTTTGTGAAATGGGACGGTCTAGCCTCCGTTGCGCTGCCCAGGTTGCCTAGCAACCATGATACTAACAGCTGGAAACGTTTCATACAGCTTTGTTTGACAGAAATGAAGGAGAAAATCTTTTGTTCATTTGTTTGATGCGCCCCTCATCCGCCGTTTTTTTTTCGGCAAAATTATCCACACCCACCGCCGCGCTATGCATCCTGGGATATGTTGGGCCACGAAGTCTACACCGCCACGTCCTTAAAATTCAGGGAAATGAAGGACGCTTTTGAGGGCCGCATTTCGAGCAGCCTTCGAATTGGGACAGCCTTCGTCGCGTCGCGGTGACGTAATCGGCCTTAAAATGCGGCCTTTAAGGCTGCAGACCCTGAATTGGGGACACAGCCACTAGAGACGAGTAGCTAACAGGAAGTGAGAAGTTAACGAACCACAGGGGGATAAGATGGGAACATGCTGGTCGGTACAGCCCATCCTGTCAAACTCAACTCTTCAGTCTTTATTTGTGACTGCACGCACTTTTCACGTGGTTCGAAGTCGAGATAAGATTAGTTCAAGAAATACATCTTAAGTGTTTTCAATTGAAAGACAAGTGTTGTTTGTTTATATTATTAATATAATTTCCATTGCTATGCAGATAACACCCAATTTACCTGTGACATAAAGACAAGTTAAACTAAAGCCACTTCTTAAAGACCTTCGTGCAGGAGTGCCACCAAAGGGGGCTCCGGCCACCCCGCAAAATTTGCTGCCCCCCCCGCTGAGAATCATTAAAGCGATGGTTGGGGTTTCCAGTCAATCAATTAAAACTGATTTTTATGGGTTTCAAAACCTTATTTGGTTAAACAGATACTCTCGATGGCATTAGCTCCAGTCATTCTACACCAGGATACGTCCGTCACATCAAACAATGTATCAATTTTATCACAATATCGCTAAAATTGGAAACATCCTCATTTCAGAGTAATGCTTAAATGACTCTGTGCCTTTCACACTTCTTTGCTACTGCGAATTATTACGATCAGGCTTTTCTAAAAGTTCTCCCAAAAGCCAAAACTTGGCAGCGACAGATATTTTCTTTCTATCCTGGATTGCATTGTTCAAACAGCTGGTTCTGAGTGATGCATATTGATGCTTATAACAATATAACAGTGCCACTTTGAACTTAACAAGGTATTGCTTAAAAATGTGTTGAGGTTTTTCACTTTATTCCCTCTCATGCGGAAGAACTGAAGGTGTAATTTTTCTCTATATTAACTGTAGTTTCTGTAATTATGGAACAACTAACAAGAAAGGTTTGAAAAGATCTTTTGGAAAGAAAGAAAAATCACACAGCAGCTCCTCAACAGTGCCTAAATCTTTATTTTTCAGTAAGCTACATTTTTTTCTCCAAATTAGACAGTTTACATCATGACACAAGAGTAACTTAAATTATCTATAGCTGACATGTACGCTTGATTCCAGTCTCGATGGAAGAAAAGACCCAAACAAAAAAAAATTAACAAAAACAAACAAAAAAACCCAAAACAAAAATAGAGAGAAGCCCTCTTGATCGCAAACCTCCATTCCACGTCTGTTAAAGGTGTCGTTAGGCAAAATTATCTGTCCAAACCCCAACACGGTGGAGTCGTCGATTGTCCACAGCTGTTAGCGTAGCATGGTAAGAGTGTTAATGAGTTAAACCACAGTGAGTTCATAGAGTCCTTTTCCAGTCAGTTGATGTGCATTCATTGTTATACATCTTTGAAAAACAAAATGAAAACACAAAAACACAAGGGGGTCTTTTTTTTTTTTTTTTAATGACCAGATGCAACCCTCGTGGAGGAAAAAACAAAAAAAACAAACCCAAAAGAAAAAAAATGGCACTGTCAAAATGGACGAACAGGAAGGAGGTCTGAGGCGACCAACAGGCTGATATGAAGTGTGACGCTCCATGCAGAAGTCCACGAGGAAAAGGGAGCTCCTTCAAAAATGCCACCGCTGAGCATCTGGATGAACGCCGGCAAGACTGAAGAGGCGCGAGGAGCTCGCGGTGTCTTTCCCGCCAGAATAAGAGATCCCTTTGAAAGCGGTACCATCCAGTCTGAGGTACCGCGCTTGTGGAAAGAGTCACTTTTGCATCGGCCTGGATTAGCTGGGTGGTACATTTTATTTTATTCCACACATGCACACATTCACAGTTCAGAGATGCCCAGTTTGTATTCTCAAAGTTCGAGGCCGCCAGAGGCAGAAGACGCCTCGACCTCAGGCGGGGGATCCACCGCAAGTTACACCGCGTGAAAAACGCTCCTACAGTCACTGGTGTCAAACTGAAGGTGTCTCCAGGCTTCCAGTAACAGGAAAATCACATCTTAAAGTAAAAAAACAAAAATAAAAGCCCGAGACGGTAAGCGCTCAGCTATGTATGTACAGGTTAAACTGCCCAGCCAAGACAAAAACGACTGTTGTATAATGGCACGGTTATTGGTTTTCTTTGCCACATCGAACTGCAGTCCACATGTGATCAAATGGTTTTAACAGACATCTCAAACTGCGTGTTAAATGTACTGTACGTGAGAAACATCGCTCTGAACAAGGTAAACTACTCTCATTCCAGTTGAGCCTTTAACCCCCCCCCAAAACAAAAAAAAGCACATAGGAAAAAAACAAAACATTTGTACATTTATTTCTCAGTAGAGGAAATCTTGGAGCTGATGAACATGAACAAGAAATCACAAACATTAATCTGAAGAGAAAAAAACAAAACTGCACAGAGCGGGTCGAATGGTTTTTGGCTCCTTGGATGTCTCGCGCTCACATCGACACCTAGGCGGGAAACTTTTAGCGCCAACAGTCGCAATGACGACTCCAAAGAGTCGCCTTGTTTTTTAAACGAAATGCACAATCCGAGGGCCCGAGACTCGTCGTCGCCTGGCGGCAGGCTGCAATAATCCCCCACCTCAAGTGCCGAGTGTTCGAGATGTGCTTCACTGGGAAGCTTCTGATGGGCGTCGCACATCACATGGCCTCGACTAAACCGAGAAGTGTCCACCAAGAATCCCTCTTTTCAGCAAACCAGCATCCGCCCGATCGGTTTAGCTGCTGATTGGCCAGCTTCGATGGTTCAGGCTTTCTTTTTATTGATTTCTGTCTGAAAAGCTCTGGTTTTCTGTCCAGCATCTGAAATGCTTACCAAATGAAATCAGACCAAAGGGATACTGGACCCCGACCCAAACGCACAGAGAAATGGATAAACCGAGAATACATTTGCAGAAGTTGGTCAGATTGGACTTGAACAGATTTACCATGCACAGGATCTCTATCGGCAGACTTCGAAATACTCAACTCTTCCCACTCTCTGAACTTCCAGTAAACATTTTCCTTCACCATGTTTCTGACAGAAGTGGTTGAAATGATTAATAAAAGCTCAATTTTTAGATTTTTACAGGTTTCCGACTGTAGAGAGACATCAGTGGAGCATGAACCACCTCGACGGTATCCTGATGGCATCACCACGACCAGCTGCTTATTATACGCACACTGAAGTTTCCGCTGTGGCTCATCTACACTTCTAACATCTCATTATTGTGTGAAAACCGAAACCATCAAAAGAGTGCTTCCTGTCGTAAATCCAGTCAATCTGAAAGGATTCGAACGCCGGAATTTTATGGGCAAAGTCTAAAAGCCCACCAACTGTTTTATTTCTAATCTGACAATTTATCAATGATTGTGAAAACTACAAAACCTGCTTCATTCACTCTGGTTCACTCAGGGTGCCCCCTGTTGGTCTGCAGCAAAATTTGTTCAGTTTCAGGTAAAGAGGAAGTTGAATTGCTTTTCAAGATCATCTCTGGCTCTAACTGTGCAGGTTGGTACAATCTGAACGCTGCGATTTATCACAGATAAATCCAAAAATCAGTAACAAAGCTCTAAGAAACCCATTAAATAAACAGGTGTGTGACAGGGCCGAGCACAAAAACCAGTGAAACTAACTAAATCTGAGAAACGACATCTAGCAAAACTATTACTGTTTTAAAACTGAAGCTTAGTCCTTTGCATGAAAGCTTTTAGCTGTTCTACGAAAACAAAACTTGATTTTTAAAAAATGTATTTTGGGTATTTGCTTGTCCTTTATAATAAAGCACGTGGCTCTGTTTGGAAAAAACAAACCAAAAAATGGCTAAACCAATGATCGGATGCACGCGGTCTGCCACACAAAAAGATTTGTGAGGTTTAGTTGCCTTTTTTTGTGCCGTTCACTGACTAACAACAGAAATGTGCTATTTATTTGGTTTCTATTTATTTTCCCGCACATTTAAACTGGTGTATGTGCAAAAATCAAATGTGTTGACTAGTGAAATTTAAAACAGATTTAAAACATGACAGAGCCAGGCGTCCAGTGTTTTTCTGCTAACCTTGCTTCATCGCTTCCTGGTCTCACACTTTTGATTTCCTGAAATCTGATTCCCCCAAAACTGTGATACTCACTCATCCTAAAATATGGACAGAAAGCAGAAAATAGAGTTTGAGCTCATCAGACAAAAACCGATAAAATAAGCCCTCAGATGGTCGTCGTTAAGCAGAGTTGGTGGATATTTGGAGGATTTCTAATATTCTCAAATAAAAGCTGCAGTCTAGTCATGCTGCCCGACCAATGTGGACACAGTGCAGTTTGATTATAGCCTACTGAGCTGCATATGCATGAACATCTCATCTTAAGTATTAGTGTTACCTAAAGTTTTGCATTAATGCCTTTAGCTGCAGCTTTCATGTCACGTCTCATCTTTTGGCATTGTTAGCAGAGTACTCAACAATGGCAAAAACAGAGTAAATATCCAACATGTAGTGCTTTGTTTTTGTTTTGCTAAAAAGCTTCATTCAGACTGTCCAAAAAGCAAACACACTGTGAGGAAAATCCCCAAAATCAACTGTAATCAGTGAAAGAAAAAGAAGCCAGAGCTTCGAAGAGGATGCCGGTGGACACTCGGCTTTGTCGGAACCACAGACTGTGAACGCAGAGGGGCGGGGTTACTGTCGCACCTGAGCATCCAGGTGCGACCGAACCCACAGCGAAAGTTTAAAAAGGAATGAAAGAACGAAAACAAAAAAAAAAATTACAATAAATGATCTGCTCACACTGCAGAGCGGAGCAGGAATCAAACTCAGCACACCCAAACTGAAAAACAATAGTTAAAGAAAAATATTTCCGAACGCACGACATCACGTCTTTTTTTTTTTTCTTTTATATTCTACATCCAGCTCGATAGCGACATTATAGTTAACAAGGATCAATATATTTTTATAATCATTTTAAGGTACCTCTTATATTTTTCTGAGTATTTACATCTGTACAAGCAAAGCACACACTTCAAAGTGCACATATTTAATACAGTATTGACTAGATTTGCAATTACAAGGTTTTTATCCCCCCCACCCCCACCCCCCCTGCACAAAAAAACCAAAAAACCTGAAACTATTGAACAAGAAACCAAAAGAACGACCCAAGATTTTCGTACATTTTACACAAAACAAAAAACAAAAAGTAGGAAAAGAAAGAAAACGCTGCTAGATTTGTACTCTCTCTCTCTCGCAGTAAGACTTGTGACGTCTGGTGTGACTAAATATTTCCACATCTCACGCTTCGTTAACATTTTGGGGATCTTTTCTGAAAAGAAATAAACTCTATGCTTGTCTTGTAGAAAAGTTAAGGCAAAGTCATTTTTCAAGTTTAAATAAAATTCAAGTTTCTCAAACACTGGATGGATTTTTTTTAACACACACACACACATTTATATATGTGTGTGTGTATATATATATATATTTATATATATTGAGAGCTCAATACATCCTTTTTTCCTTCTCCCAAAAAGAAAACTTAATGATATTTCTTGTGGAATAAACAGCACTGCTTTATAAATAAGTGGATATGGTGCATTTACATCTGTTTTACCATTTCCACCAATGAGGAAAACAAAAAAGAGAAAATAATAGACCCATCCAAGTGCATCTCAGTCCTTCAAAATAATAAAAAAATATTTTCTTTTTTCACTAAACTCAAGCTGTAGCGTCCAAATCAAAAGCAGCTCCGACCAGGAGTACAGGCTCTTTAAATGAAGCTTTCCCTTCTCCAGGCTCCTGTTTTCTCTTAGTGGGATTACCCAGAATGCTTTTTGTTGCAGGAAGACTTCAGCGAGACATGCGAGGTCCCACCTAAACAGATATTGTGTATAGTACAGTGGTTTTTATTTATTTATTTTTTTCAGGGTGTTTTTGCATCTTAGGTGACGACTTCAAAAGATGAACCCGAGCACATGACCGAGGAGCAGGGAGGGAAGCCTTTTAAGTCATTTTTCAGACAGTTACATTCAAATTAAAAAACACACTCGGTTGGTTATCTGCCAAAGTGGTTGCTACAGTAGGCAGACCTTCCAACCAAAGCTGGAGCTGCCCTCCCTGAACGTGCGAGCTTGCTACTTCACTCTGGTGCAGGATGCAAAATTTTCCACCAGCTCTGGTATAAAAATCGCTGCTTCGATTATGTCCCATGAAAGCTCTGACCAACTGGGTGCCGGCGCTTCAAACGAGCCGGGCTCGATGTGAGTAAAGGATGTTTCCTCTTACTCTGTGCTTTAAATCTTCTTCCTGTCTGCTGCCATTTATCAAAGGTAACCAGAGTGAAGCGGCAACAGAGGAAGTCTCGTGTGCTCCGGTTGATCTTTTCCAATTTTTTCGGAGAAATCAAAGAGTGCAAACAAACTAAAAGAAAACAACAAAGCACGCCGACAGAGAGGAGGGGAAAAAACCACCCCCAAACAACAATAATAAACAATCCTAGTGGTATAGACTTGAGGAAAACAGCGGAACATTTTCACCCCAAGGATGGATTTTACACACCTTCCTGCTCCAAACCTTCCAGCACTTAAATGTTTGCTTTAAGGCTGTTCACGAGTCCGACGGGACCCCCACCGCCAAATTATCGCTCTCTCACTTCAACATTGCAAACCACGTTCCAGAAAAAACAAAAACAAAAAACAAAAACAAAAATCCACTCGTTATTTACCTTCATAAAAATATACTTGTCTATCCAACCATCCCACTTCCCCATTTTCACCACTTTCCAACAAAATCCTCACTGACACGAAACCCGAAGTTAAAAATCCAAACCACTGCATGTCTATTCAAGCAGCACCAACCAAAAACAAACAAACGAACAAAAAAACGTTAAGCATCAGTCTTCGAAAATTTAATGCTGCACAGATGCTTCAACATGACCGACGAGACAAAAAAGCTTCAGTGATTGTGTCAATGGAGACGATGCAGCAGGGTGTTTGTCAACTTCTCTCCTGGAAAACTGAACTGTGTGTGTGTCATTCCCCAACTTTCCCCCCCAAAAAACAAAACAAAACAAAGTTAGTCCCTTTTTCCACTTTAGGTAGGATTAATCGCATGAATTTGCTTGCGAGAGTCTGAGAAAACAACAACAGTGCAATTAAACGTCTGCAGATGTAAATCAAGTATTTCTACTTACAGTATCAGAGGAGTTGTAGTAACAGGTTCCAGGTTTTGATATCTAGCACCATAAGTAGGAGAAAGAACTACAAACATGCCACAGTTTGAAAGGAGGTTTGAACAGTTTGAACAGGAAACTTCCCGCTGGATCAAAACGCCACACTGAACTCTGGAAACGAACGCACATCTCAGCCTCCTGATGAGTCACTCTGTCTCAGCAGATTTCCAGAAGATTAAACAAAAACCAAAAAACCCTCCGTTTGGCGCCTGTAAACAGACGTGTTTACTGAGCTGATAGCTGGTAGCTAGTGTTAATTTCCTCCTTCCTGCTTGCCAGCGTTTCCTCGCCTCCAGAATAAACAAAACCCTTTCAGATGGGAAGAAGCGGCTTCCTCGTCACCGCTCGATTTTACGTTTGTCAGCCTAAAACCTGCCCTGCATCTTCCTTCCTTCCACAATAACGATCAACAGTTTGACAGGAAATGAAAAGCGGGGAGAGAATTTAGCTTCCTGACTAGTTAAATGTCTGCAGACTCGTATGCAGTGTGAGCAACACCTCACCTACTTCCACTTTTACAACAGATGCCTCGTTTTAGAGAAAGTCATGTGCCCTTCCTGTGTGATACTAAAAAACAAAAAACAAAACAGTGCTGACCCCACGTTAAGCCACAGACGCACACTATGGTGAGTTAGCATGTTAGCAAAACAGAGAGGGAATAACAGCAGGAGGGGTGATCCTTTAAGAACAGGATCAGAGGGAGAAGACGCCGAGGGGAGGATGACCAATTACTGTACCAACAGCCAACTACGGTTTGCAAAAAACCCCAAAAAGACATAAAAGCCACCTAGTGTAAACAAACCTGCAAAAAAATTCTCTGTAAACCAAAGGATCCAAGTCTTCTTGTGATGTTGAGTTGCATATGGATGTGAATATGTATTTAAAAACAAAAGGACTAATAATGACCCATAATTAAGCCACTTAAAGTTGCACAATGCTGCCACTCAACATGCAAACAAACCCCTCGCTATGACAGCCAAACAAGATGGAGTCTGTTTTATGCACCCTTTCCCATCATCCTTTGGGGTGGCTTCCAACAATGCCCTGCTGCTTCCCACACATGCACACACACGCACACACACGGCTAATTTAATCCCACAAGGCCATTTGGACAGAATGAACAAATTTCAGTGTTGTCTGTGCCACCTGACCGGCTGACACCACTACGTAATGCAAAAAGAGAAAAGGAGAAATAAAAGTGAAAAAGCAAAAACAATAAATAGAATATAAAGAAAAAGAAACGGTGCTCTACATGCACAGTAAAGTGCTTTTTGTCTGCAAGCCCTGATCCAGAAAAGAAGGCGTCCTCTATGCTTGTTTGTGACGGGTGATTCTGGGATATAAGTATCGAGTAGCCCTGACTTTATTTCCTTTATTTTTTTAAACGCATCTGTGGAGCATAGTAGTGGGGAAAGAGGTCACCCTACTGCGGGGATTTGGGTGGGGTGTGGTGGGAATCTTTGTTGGGGGTTTTCCCTGGGTGTGGGGGCGGAGAGGCCCACCGCCCACCCGGCCTTCGGACCTCCTTCGGGGGTCTGCCTGTGGTGGCACCCGTTGAACTGGGTTTGGAGGAGGGGTGGTAAGTCTCTCTGGCCTTGGCCTCCCCTGAAGGCGTGGAGGCGTCGGGGCACTTCCTCTCCTCGCCTGCTGTGGCGGCGCAGGCTGGCTTAGCTTCCTTAGGGGTGGTTGGTTGCTGTAACGTCGGGGCGTCCTTCACCCGCTGGCAGATCTCGGCGTAGGAGGGCTTCCTCTGCTCCTAGCGGGAAAACACAAGACAGTTGTAAAACATTCTGCACACATCCTTACAAAGCTCGTCTGCGGGCAGTTTGTGAACGAGTAGGTTTCATTTCCACCTTGAACAGGACAGAATCAGAGTTAGATCCTCGTACGGGTCCGTTAGTGTCAGTAACAAACTTCCTCACATGTATCTCGCATACAATGCCTGGAAAGTTTCAGGCCTGTAGCGCACGCGTCTTCAGAAGGAGAGCCCCAACAACAAACTGGTCCAAGCATCATACAAATAGAGAGGTAAGCTGAATTAAGTGACACAATCTTCAGGTCTTTGTTTATATTTATGCCATTTAGTCCAATGTTGTTGAAAAGGATGACCTTTAAGTCAGTCTGTCCATCAGATGTATTTCCTCTATAATCTCTAGCACTTGCTCTACTTGGGGAGGATCCTT